GCTACTTTTTTAAAAAGAATACAGATCATCTCTTAATAGTATAATCGAATGTTTAGCAATAATTTTCTTGTTCAGAGGATAGAAACACATTTCATTTTAGCAGCTAGAATATGTATTTCCCAACACTGAGAATGTATATTTCTTTGCTTCATCTCAGGAAGGTTTAGGAAAGCCTTTAACACAACTTAACACTACTCTGATAAGACACAATTTGCATCTCTGTTCACTCCACCCAATAATGTATTTTAGTACAAAGATGACTTCCAAATAAGCCACAATTTTTAGTTTCTTACATTCCCTTCTCCCTTACCAGATCACTTGATGAAGGGTTCTTGAAACTCAAAGGCTTGTAACGGTTTATGCTATTTCACTTGGATTTAGAAAGGTACTGACACTATGTGAAGGCAAACTTCTCCATCTTTACAGTAACAAAGTCTTAGCAAAACACTTGATGTGTCTGGTTCCACTTGAGGTGAATTAGATCAAATGCACAGGAAAACTTTATCTAAGAGAAAGCATTTGTTAAGCTATACTTACAGTTTTATCTATGTTTGCCAAAAGCCTGTCGTCACAATATCACAGCAGATATTAAAGGCCTCAGTTAATTCTATAGAACTGATGCAGTGAACCTGATCATTGTTAGCAAGAAACCGTGATCACTACATATCTGCTATATGGCTCAGACCTAGTAGCATTTGATCAGTTTTGCTTTTTTCTAGTCACTTTTTCCAAGTTAATCAGACCAAATAGTTATCACTGACTACTCATTAAATCTTTATCTGCACAGTATTTCTTAAGGGGATGATTCTTTTTGTCATCCATTCTTTCAAAAGTATGTGCAAGGTTACTGGAATGAGGGAATTTACCAGGGAAAATGATTAATGCTGTCATCACAACGTTGATGGTGCATTACAGTATTCAGCTCTACGTGTCTTTCTTTGCCTTTTATCTATTGGGGGTGATTAATTTTCAAGGGGTAGCTATGATGTCCATCAAATACATATAGAAAGGGACTCATGGTATTTTGAAAACCTATAGGTTTATTGCCATAAGCTTGTATAGATTACAGCTCACTTCATTAGATGTATGAAGCATAGTGACTGCAGGAGGGGAGCAAGGAGGCACAAGTGCTAAGTGTATGTCACAATGTTGCAACAAAAACTGCATCCTCACATCATAATCCAAGTTCATAAGGGCAAAGATGCACATTTCATAATGTTGGTGTCATCATGGAACAGATGCTGATGACATTAAAAATGAACTGCATTGGTATATAATCACACAAACAGTGAAATATGGGGAAAAGTAGTCAAACTCTTTCTTTGATCTTTAATTTTATATCCTGTCTTTCAAGGCTAGCCTACACCAGATTTTCTTTTCCACCTTTCTCCTCACAATCCTATGATATAGTACTGATGGACAATTTTAATTATCAGGACAACTAGCCATCTCAGGTTTTTTAATTTGTGCAACTGGCAAGGTAAAAGAAGCCACCAGTAGATCTAATAGGAACCAATAACAAGCAATCAAGCAATGGAAGTAGCAGGAATTTGGGGAGGAAGTGATAATATAATACTGGAATTCTTCATTTTAAGAGAAATTAAAGCTGAGAGTAATTGAACACATATCTTGTACTTAAACCATAATACATAGGATTTCATGGCAGGAGAAGCTGGAGGTATCCAAACAGAGGCTAGGCAGAGTTGCTTTCATTTATACCTCTGCACTGAGGGAGAGGTTACATTCAGTGGCCTAAATGAACTCATCCAACTATGATAATAAGTAGGCTGGGCTAAGAGATAATGACTGGCCTAAAGTCACCCAGTGAGTTTCCAAGGCTGACTCAGTATGAACTTAGGTATCCTTGGTCCTTTTTCCAAGGCCCACTCCATCATTTCTTTTCAGAATAGTTTATTAAAGGGCTCTGTACTTTTTCTCTGTACTCTCAACTGTAAGCAGTTCTCTTTGCCAAATAATCAGTTCCTTGTATGGTAGTTCCACCATTTTTTGGACAGTGTTGGGCATGGAAATAGGAACCCTAAATTTTTTCAGCAATTCATTACAGCCTCTAAGGAGGTTTTCTTTTTCTTTTTTAATCACCCCCATTTGTAAATGTTACCTTTGTACAAAAATGCCTTAATTGTCTGGAATGCAAATGGCATCTAATTCTATTCAGGAACATGGAAGTTACTGGTACTTTTCTAGGAACTGCATTTAGAATTTAAAAGAACCTCTTCTGAAACCTGTACACCAATTTCTTTGAAACTGGGCTGTCCTAATTTTCTTAGAACGATTTGTAACCCCAACAAATTTCAATCTGTTTTGTTGAAAGCAAGGACAATTGTGGCCATTTGAATTTTTATCAAGGTACAGGTAGTCCTCATTTAGCAACCACACCTGGGACGGCACCTCATTTAGCATCTAGTTACTTTTAATGTACAATAATTTTCAAAGGTGAGATAGGAGGATAATATTATATCAGCTTTATGACAATTTATAATACATTTAATTCCAAACTTAATTACTGTCCAAACTACACATTTTTATTGTGTGGAAAGGCTAAGAAAAATTCTTGCTACTTCAGGAAAATTGAATGCTATTTGTTTTCTGAACCCCCCCCCCCCCAAGTTTCAGTTTTTAAAAGGCATAGCAAAGTATTGAGAAAAATCATTATATATTGCAGTTTTAATGTGTACATGTGTGCTTTGATACAGTTAAATCATTACAGGAAGACTTATTCTGGTTTAAATAAAGGGATCTCTCTAGATGATGAAGGCACGGATATTTATGAAATGGGCAGCGAACAGGTTCTGGCAGCTTATTTAGCATACCAAAGTTTATAGAGTCCTTGGGGTTCTCTGGGCTTGGTTGTTTTCTTGCCGACGTTTCATTACCAACTAGGTAGCAACTTCAGTTCTAGAAGGGAGTGAGGTTTGCTCTGTTTATATACAGTAGCTTGCTCTGCCAGTGTTGGTGGGAATGTTGTTTTTTCCTTGGTAGTTCCTAGATTAGGCTGTTGTTTGCTGTCTGATTATCTGAGTTGGTAGTTCCTCAATTAGGGTATTGTTTACTCCTTGATTGTTTGTTTGGTGTTAATCCCTGCTTATCTGAGTGTTGATTGCTGGTGAGGAGGTGTTCTGGTCTTTTTGTTTCCTTTTTATTGTCTCTTTTGAATGGTGTGTAAAATTTGTTTGTCTCTATGTGCCTCTTGATGGCTGACTTATCTGAATACTAAAC